GCGGTACATTCCGCGCCAATAGTACCGCAGCCGGAGACGTGCATACGTTTTTATCACACCGGCGTGGCCGCATTGAGGATCCGCGTGAAAAGAGTCGCAAATGTCGGCACGTAGGTGGCGAGGAATCACAAGCAACCACTTGCGGCCGTCAGAAAGGTAGTTGCGACGGTACAGGAGTCCATCGCGGATGGTAAAGTGTCGAGCTGTGCGCTGCAGTGAACGATTGGGCGTAACTTGGGACGGCCGAGACAGTAACTCTATCATAGAGGCTATCCAAGCGTCTTGGCGCTGTTCATAGGGCATGTCCGCGTACGAAAGTGCCACAGCATCGAGGCTGGATACAGAAGTACTTCCGTGTTCATGGGGAAGTGGAGAGCGGGAGAGAGCGTCGGCATCTGAATGTTTGCGGCCTGACCTGTAGACGACACGGATATCATAGTCTTGGAGGCGTAACGCCCAACGAGCGAGACGGCCAGATGGGTCTTTTAGTGACGATAACCAGCAGAGGGCGTGGTGATCAGTCACGACGTCAAATGGACGGCCATAGACGTAGGGTCGAAATTTTGTGATTGCCCAGACGATGGCTAGACATTCTTTTTCTGTGACTGAATAATTCTGTTCAGCCCTAGTAAGAGTGCGACTGGCATAAGAAACGACGTACTCGTCGTATCCAGACTTGCGTTGAGCAAGAATAGCGCCAAGTCCGACTCCACTTGCGTCGGTGTGTATTTCTGTAGGGGCATCAGGATCAAAGTGACGGAGAATCGGTGGAGATGTCAGCAATTGACGTAGTTTCGCGAATGCCTTATCGCAATTGGAAGACCACGCCGAAATGCCCTCGGTGTCAGAAAGTAGCCGTGTTAAAGGGGCCATGACAGATGCAAAATTACGGACAAATCGGCGAAAGTATGAACATAAGCCGATAAAGCTCCGGAGTTCCTTAAGTGTCGATGGCTTCGGAAACTGGGCGACAGCACGGAGTTTTCCAGGATCAGGTAGAACGCCGTCCTTGCTGACAACATGCCCTAAGATGGTGAGCTTCCGGGCGGCAAAATGGCACTTTTTCAAATTTAGTTGGAGCCCAGCATGTGTAAGGCAATGCAGGACACTTGCGAGGCGCAGAAGATGGGTATCGAAGTCTTTTGAAAAAACGACGACGTCGTCCAAATAGCAAAGACACGTCTGCCATTTAAGGCCTCGAAGTATGTTGTCCATCAGACGCTCGAAGGTGGCTGGGGCGTTACAAAGGCCGAACGGCATCACGTTAAACTCGTACAAGCCGTCCGGAGTTACAAACGCAGTCTTGGCGCGGTCAGCTTCATCCATGGGTACCTGCCAGTATCCCGATCGAAGATCCAGCGAAGAAAAGAATTCTGCACCTTGCAAACAGTCGAGAGCGTCGTCAATTCTGGGGAGCGGATAAACATCTTTGCGCGTGATCTTGTTAAGGCGCCTGTAATCCACACAGAATCGGATGCCCCCGTCCTTCTTTTTGACCAGTACCACCGGGGAGGCCCACGGACTGTTAGACGGCTGTATAACGCCACGATTGAGCATATCAGACACTTGATCGTCTATAACTTGGCGTTCGGCGTGGGAGACCCGGTATGGACGCTGACGCAATGGTGCGTGGGTGCCAGTGTCAATACGATGGACAATTGCAGATGTTCGGCCCAGACTGGTTTGTTTGAAGTCGAACGATGAGCGGAAGTGGTCGAGAAGTGTCAAGAGTTGAGTTCGTTGGTCAACAGGAAGGTCAGGATCAATCGATGGAAGGAAGACGTCGAGGGAAGAGGTGGCGGATGTGAGAGCGGAAGTAACACTGGCGATCTCAAGGCTTTTTGCTTGATAGGGCAGTTGACTGGTGCAAACACAATCGATGTCCTCAAGGCGGCCGATGCATTCGCCACGGAATAGGGTGACTGGTACAGAAAGGAGATTCGTGGCATAAATGTTTGCGCAAGTGGCTTCGACCGTCAGAAGAGCAAAAGGCAGAAGAACGTTTTTTCGAGAAGTGAAGTCTTCTGACGGCGTGAACATGACGTCCGAAAAAGCGGCATGGTCGCACGAGATCGGCACAATAACAGAAGACATGGGTGGAATATCAGTCTCCGCGGCGACGACAACACGAGAAATAGAAGGCTTATTATAATCGTCGTCGGAGAGCGATGACAATTCTAGTTCGGCCCGGGCACAATCAACAACGGCATGATGTGTGGAAAGGAAGTCCCAGCCTAATATGACGTCGTGTGAGCAGTGCGGAAACACGATAAATTCAACCACGTACAGAACGCCCTGGATGATTAACCGAGCCGTGCACGTCATAGAAGGGTTCACGTGATGCGCTGTTGCCGTACGAAGGGAGAGACCAGAAAGCGGAATCGTAACTTTTCTTAACTTGCGACACAATGCTTCACTCAATACAGACACGGCAGCTCCGGTATCTATTAATGCTTGAACGGGGATACCTTCAATCAAGACAGTTATTTCATTATTCGGTAGAGAACGAGGCCTTGTGGAGTTCGACGGTGGCGCAGTTCTTGCCTCCGGAACTGCGATGGTCAGTTTTCCGTTTGGGCAGGTGGTGCACGCCGAAGCATTGGTGAAGGCGAACGTCGGCGCGGGGAAGGCGATCGGCGTGGGTTGAAGGCGCGGCGGCTCGGCGGAGAAGTGTCCGAAGCTGCATGGAACGGCAGCGTCTGTGGTGGTTCTGTGGGGGCGTAGCCGTAGGTGCCATCAATAATGCCTGAGTGAGGGACGCGCCGGCGACAGAACCGCTCAACATGGCCAGGCTGACGACAGTAATAACAGATAGGTCTGTTATCCGATGTACGCCAAGGGTTGTTGGGAAGCGTTGAAGGACGGCGGTAAATGGGAACATGCGAGCCTGCCGGTACGTGTGTTGCGTAGAAGGCGTTCGCTTGGTGGGCAGGGTCGACGACGTTTGACGGCGCATGTACCTGCCTTCGCGCGACGTCAGCGTAAGTCAGGGGAGCGGACACAGGTGGTGGCTGGTACGTGGGGGGAAGTGCCTCGCAGACTTGCTCTTCGATGGTTTGGCGCAGTGACGAGGTCAGCCCATGCGTATTGCTGGGAAGCAAGGGGGCAAGGGACAACTGGCGTGCCACTTCCTCTCGGATAAATTGCTGGATTTGCGGGGTCAATACAGTCTGTTCTGGAGATATTGCACCAACGGTCAATGCTGGCGTGCTGGTCATGTCGAAAGTAGGCCGTCGCGTTGAAATGCGCTGTTTTCGCAACTCATCGAAACTTTGGCAGTGTTGGATGACTTCCGAAACTGTTTGCGGGTCTTTAGCCACCAGCATGTGGAAGGCATCGTCCTCGATGCCCTTCATAATGTGTTTTACCTTGGCGGTTTCCGACATGTCAGGATCAAAGCGATGGCAGAGGCCTACGACGTCCTCAATGTAGGACGTGAAACCCTCTCCCGACAGTTGGGCGCGATCCCGCAAGCGCTGTTCTGCACGGAGCTTGCGCACTGTCGGTCGGCCAAACACGTCCGCGAAGGTGGTCTTGAAAGTGGCCCAGTCGGTAAGCTCGGCTTCGTGGTTGTTGAGCCAGAGCTCTGCTACTCCTCTGAGGTAAAAGTGGACGCGGCCCAGTTTGTCGTTTTCGTCCCTCCTGTTGTTGACGCTTACTCGTTCGAACGAAGAGAGCCAGTCCTCGACGTCCTGCTCATCGGTGCCGTTGAAGATGTCTGGATCTCGCTCTCTCGGGACGCCGGGACAGTGGACAGGTGGAGATGTAGGAGCCGTCTGCTGTGCAGCGTCGATGGACATTGTTGATGGCGAAGGTAGAGTTCGGTTGCGGAGTTCCAGGATGGAAAAAGGTACCCAGCACTCTCCACCACTTGATAGTACACCTTTAGTGGTGAGCAGAAGAGACGTTTACTTGGTGGAAAACGTAGCGGTAGAACCGACCAGCTGTCAAGCGGAGCGAGCGCGAGCAGCAACAACACTCTTCCTTCTCTTCTTCAGCTGGCGTTCCGGCCTGTGCCAAATATCAATGCTACAATATATATATATATATATATATATATATATATATATATATATATATATATATATATATATATATATATATATATATATATATATATATATATATATATATATATATATATATATATATATATATATACGAGTACGAACATTCAAGTCGCACGTCACCGCCCCATTAACAATATTCCTGCAGTACCCCTTAAAAGAGCCGCTATTTTTACGTGTGGTGCATTTCTCGTCCGGCTACATTAGACTTGATCTAGTTTTGAGACCTGATACTGTCGAAAAGGTGATATTTACAGGGCATATTTGTACGAAGACACGCTGTATTCAGCTTCGCCAACTGTAAACATTCGGTGAAAGGCTCCCGGTATTTTTTTATTTTTTTTTTGAGCGGAGGAGGGTGCATCAGAATGACTAACTATGGCAATTGGTGGTCGCTGTGAATTCGTGTAAATGTTTTCGTTTACCCTGAAAAGTTAAATTACGAAAATAATTCATGGTGTAGGGGGTTCAGGTTCGATTCTTTCCGCTTGCTTCTGTACCTAATTACGGCCTCCTGTTCTGCGTGCGTTTGACAGGGTATTTTTTTTTTATCTCACAGCTTTCTGAGCACTGCTAATTTCAATAAATTGGTTCAGTTATTCTGAACAATGTAGACGCCTAACCAACGAAGCAATAGTTAAGAGAGAAGCAATCAGAATAAGACACGCCCTTTCAAAATAATTTTTGGTCTTCCACAAGAAATTTTATGAAGCTCAAATTCAGTGTATTGGCGTGTCGCATTTCGAGGGTTATGGCGTCATGTGTTATACACGAATGACAGGCAGTTACGAAGAAATCTGGACCCAAAAAAGCGCGCCAGAGGGCCCAAGCGCAAAGCAGTTTGTGCGCGCGGCGCACGGCTTTTTTTAGTACCATTCGACTGCAGCGCCGCCGCTTCGGGCAGCGCAGATGCACTCTAGCGGAAGGCATCAGGCGGCGAAGCGCGGTCAAGCCGTCTTAGCGCATGCTCTACTACGACATCTACTACGACATACCAAAAAGTTCGGCACGGTTTTAAACTTTACGTTGATGAGACGAAGAAGAAGACAACATGCACTCTGATTGGCAAGAATGGATATCAAGCGTGCAGGTGCGGAATCGGTCGAGAGCATTCTTCAAGCCCCGTCGCTGGCGCAACGGCAAGAAAAAAAGCAGGTATGGAACCGTCACCGACGAAAAAGCTCACGGCCGATTGGGCTTTGTGCGGCAGCAATGTATGTGCACAGGGTTCGTGTCGATGTCTCGCTGCAAGTGTTTTTACCTCAAGATGTTCAGTATCTTCTATGGACGGAACTTGAAAGATGCCGAAAAAGTCCCGGCGTCGAGCGATGCTGAAGGAATGTCGAAACCTGCAGTGTCGCGCCCGTGTCTGATCACTGTTGGCTCCGCAGAATGGTACGCTGCCTTAGAAAAGCGCCTGAGCGTTATAAAGAAGTTCATCATCCCAAAACAGCGACCGTTAGATGGGCGCGTCCACGACGTCGAAGACGTGATGCCCAGTATGACAGCGGAGATGCAGCACGAGGTAGAGGCAGCCTTGGTGTCGACGCCGCCCGACGAAGTCCTTGCATCGGCCTTCCGGCTCAACATACGTAGGGCCGACATGCAAACACTCGCCGACAACCAGTGGTTGAACGATGAAGTGATAAACTTCTATATGAATCTCCTCGTGCAACGATCGGAGCAACAAGGTTCTCCTCGTGTCTACGCCTTCAACACATTTTTTTTCCCGATACTGGAGAAAAAAGGCTACGCTGCTCTGAAGAGGTGGACCCGCACTGTTGACCTATTTTCATATGACATCCTGCTGGTGCCCCTGCACTTCGACAATCACTGGTGCCTCGCTGCTGTTGATTTCCGCAAGCAATGCATTGCCTACTACGACAGCCTCTACTCGGAACGTGCACAGACAAGGTGCTTGGCCACGCTGCAGCAGTACCTGGAAGACGAGAGCCAGCACAAGCGGAACCACGGTCTCAATTGGGACAGCTGGACATTGAGAGCGATGGATGTGCCGCAACAGCAGAATTTCAACGACTGCGGCATGTTCACTTGTCAGTATGCCGAGTGTGTCTCTCGGGACGCTCTCATCTCATTTGGTCAGCAGCACATGCCGTACTTTCGGAAACGTGTGGTCTACGAGATTCTTCACAAGGCTATACTACCTACCAGCGTGAGCCAACGTCAGATCACACACACTAGCACCGCCAACGGGCCCGCAAGCGCTTATGGGAAAAGTTGGCAAGGTGTGATGGCCTGTCTACGGCCACAGTTCAACCAGCTGAGCGGCTCATAAGCGTCAGTCCTCCTTCGGCGTAAATAAATAAAAACAGTACAACTTGGTTGCCTAAAAGGTGCAAGCACTCTCCATGAATTCACGGATGCATTAGGAATCAATGTTCTTCGACGCTATTTACGAGTAAATTGTAAGGTTCTGGTATATGCAAAGGTTGCTCTATAAAGAAGCGCAATTTCGTAAAATAAAATACATTGACTAGACCACTGCGCGCCGCTCGCAGCATATGCATCTACCAACTTCCCTTGCCACTGTAACTGCATGTCGAGGCAAAAATAAAGAAGTAGGACCAGGAAAGAAATATGCACACCGGAAACGCCCACTCACGACTGAAAGGTTATAGCACGTGTCAACAAACAACAAAATGGGGCTGCATCGTGAATGTTACAGAGAGGGGCAAAAAGACTAACAACTGACGCGCGTGTTTACAGTTGATTACAGCGATAGCAAATGTTAATAATTGACTTAGACAAGGTGCGCTGTTCTTTATGGTATATATCCGAGATTTCTCGCGTGGTCTGGTTAGGGTGACTGTGCAAGATGAGCAGGCCTTCAAATGTGAAATTGAATGACTGAATATGCGAAGCGCGATTAGACTGCTTCATTCAATGAATTTTGATGCTCTCTGAGGAGCGTGTTGATACAACAACCCGTCCGATCGATGTACATATGTGAACACGAGAGGAATCCGGTTACCAATCCTTGCACAACAATTGAAGCAACGATTGGCATGCCTCTCATAGTACTTTTCTCTGCCCACTGCAGACGCATGCGATCTTTTGCGCTCTACGGAAGAAATGTTACTAGGCTTAATTGATGGTGCGGAAAACACAACCCTCACTTCGTATCGCTTCCCTCGGACTGTGCAGAACGTTTGCATGTGATAACTTGAATATTTCTAGTTTCTTCGCTAGTGAAGGTCGTCCGATTTAATCTTTGTTCGCAGTGCGAATGAGCTGCTAACGAACCGATGCAATATGATATAAGCAGGAAACCGAGCCTTCCTGCAGCGGGAAACTATTGCTCATTTGTAGCGCCCAAGTTTTTTTTTTGTTTCTTTCTTCGCCGAGCGTAAGCACATGAATATTCTTCATTCAACAACATTTTAATGCGCCGACGCGAAATTCAGTAGTGGTCTCACTCAATGCGGAATATACTGCCAGCAAACCGCAAATTATCAGAGCAAGGTATATGATAGGCTCGCACGCGCGAATTCTAGTTCCATCTCTGCGTCGTTAAACACTCTCAGAATGTGCTTACTTTTTCTTTCATTTAGCGCGTGACTTTTCCATAAACATAAAAAAAAAATCTTAGCGACATGGAAACTGCGTGCGCGGTTTCATGAGCGCGCAGAAAAGTTGCTCAAGACGCGCTGACGCAACTACAGTGGCCACTTATTGCAATGTTCGTTGACAAGCATGGGAAGATTGCGTCATGATTTATGGCTAACGCAGGCCTATATGTACATTTTTATGGATACCGGGTTTTATGTATCTTTTGCCATAAAGAAGCGGACGGTTCATTTTTTTTTTTTCAATACTGTTCGGGAAATTGTTGATCGCGTACACTAGTTCACGGTCACATGATAGGGAACATGAGATAATTGAAGTTTCTGTCACCAGCCGGCGCATTACACACCTTCGCGATTTTCAAATAAAATTATAACTCCACCATAACTCCACTTTTCACGAGAAAAACAAGCTTGGTTTGAGTCTCTATGAGTGACAGTCTTTCCATGCGTGCAGACATCTCATTTCATGTTCTGCACAGTTGTGGTCTCCTGAAAGCGTGCAAAGGTTATACCAATTTTGAAGAAAAAGCAATGAAGATGATCATTGGAAATTATAGGATCATGAGATCTTTTTCTCCGTCGTTAAGTAAACTAACAGAACATTTATTTGTAAAGCCTCTTAACATGCTTACCTTTCGAAATTTAATGTTATATAGCCTTCCCAGTTTTGTTTTCGTCATGTGCATGCTCTGCTTTCTTTAACCGACTTCATGAAACATTGCATAGATAGCGGTAACTTTTTGAGTTCACTCTTTATGGGTTAGCTAAAGCCTTCGACACGATCAATCATCCATTTTTTCAATAAGTTAGATTCTTATGCTATTCATACACTGTAGTATTACCGGAATACCTCTGAACTTTCTGAAAAGTCGACTGTTTAACAACAAAAAAAAAAATAACGTTGTCCTTATTGGGGGCTTTTACTATAACACTAATATTGCAAAGCAATTAAGCTAGGTACGTGTTACGCAGGGATTCATTCTTGGTTCCCTCCTATTTATTATTTATATTAATGATTTCCTTGATGTCATGCAGCTTGTTCTACGACACAAAGTCATTGTCATTCACAGCCATTTCGTTATGTAACTATATTCTACCAGATGTAAAGTCTTTAGGTATACCTGTATTAACAAAAAAAAAAAACAACATTCAAATTGTATTCTCTGCCATATATTATTCTAAACTGTCCTCTTTTTATCGTGATTTAGCAATTGTATTGCTCTAGTGTGTTTATTACATTGTTCTGTTGATGCTACATAGTTTTTTTTTTCATTTGCCTTGCATTTTTTTACATGCTTCCTTTATTATGGGCCACCTCCACAGTCTTCTGACAATGGAACCTTAATCTGTAAGACGTCTCCTTCATCTCATGTATCACTGTTTTGTTAATAATAAACTTCAAAAAGGATGAATACTTCTCTTTGGCGCGACCCAAACAGCACGGCGGCAGATCTGCGGCTGCCTCTCCTAGAAAAACTATAACAGTAGTTATTATTCTGCTCACAATTTCCCGACGAAAGCCTTCTAAAGTCTGCCACGCACATGGAGAAAGAATATTTGCCACTTAATCACAGCAATATGGTTCGCACCTAGTAACGTTTCAGTAATGTTGGTTCGCACCAACGTTATTAGCCTGTTCACATGGCTGGCAGTGAAGTTGTAGCGCTTCTGCGGCTAGCAGCGCCGTCTCGTGGCGCGCATAGCAGACGTTGCAAAAAGTTTGCAGCGCACGGTACACTCTTGATTCTCAAGTACAAGACACATTGCCCGCGCAGTTCGTACACCAACTAGCACTGAAAAGTCACGCAGACATTCGCGGTTATTCCCTGGCCATTGTCATGTCGTTCTACTAGCCCGAGCGACACTCGCTAGTAACTTTCAACTCGCTCGAGTGATCCTACGTTGGGTTTGTTTCGAAGCCCTCGTTTCCCTCGTGCGAGGCACTCGGGACCACATGGCGGCACGGAAGCCTACTCACGCTTACGTTCAGTACAAAGATGGAGACTCGGCGATCGTCTCTGTCGGTCTCATCAAGCACTACAGTCCGGACGACGTGACCGACCTGGCAAGCAACAAGCTCGTGTGCTGGAGGAAGAATAGGAAGGGATATTTATCCGAAAGCTACTTCCGCGGAGACATCTTGACGTTGGGATGTGAGTATATCCGTTCACGCGTTTCATGCAACGGCTTCGATCTCCTTACATTTCGTGACGCAAACTGTGTTTTAGCACTTTTTCAGGTGATGTGATCTTTGTAACGATTTCATTCAGTTTGACAGTGAATTATGGCGTTTTCCGATCGCGTTCTTCGTTTTGGCCGTGTCCGCGACAACGTTCCGTAGGCCTGACCAGGCCAACGCTTGCAAATAAACGATACAGCGGCATAACATGCGTGCACTGCCGCCCCTAAAATCGCGGCCCCGGGTGTTGGATTTGCTGCCCATAACATTTAATCTGGTCCGGATGATGGCAGTTCAGAGCGTTCATGTAATGCGATTAAGAAACGAATCGTGGAAAAAAAAAAAAAAAAAACAGTGGCGGTAGTTGCGTGCGGGCTACTTTGTTGTCGCGTGCTGCCTGATTGACAGGACATTTTAGCTCGATTGATAACGATGCTCAATTGATGTATCTAACTAACGTCATAGCGAACACATGGTAAACAAACACTCGGAATAAGTTGTCAAGATTATTAAGCCGCCTAATTTGAAAAGGGCCACAATTAGATAACATGTACTCGAGAGCCATAGGCAATTATATTGATTTAAAAACAGATGTATTTGATAAAGCTTCTGATACCTTTCACTTACAATTCTGGTGTTTGTTATACACGCGCGTTTTTTTTTTTTTATGCTCCCTGTGACTATTTTGGGAGCATCTTTTTTTTTGTCTATCTGAAGGACTGCAATTTTTTAAAGTTAGGCAGTGTTTTATTATTATCCTGTATGCTCATTGTATCATGTATTGTTGACTTCAGTTGACATATTGTTAACATATCGCTGCTTTTTCTGCCCGCTCATTCGTATTATTATACTGCATGTATGGAAAAATAAATGTTATTGTCATATTGCTAGCAATTAGAGCATTGCTTGAACCCAGACTAGCTAAAAAGCTGCTGGGCTGGGTTACGTGTCATCAGACTGGGCCTGTAATAGGCCAGTCTCTTGTGCAAGCATGTAGTGGGAGTTGGTACGTTAATGTTTTTTTTTTTTTGGCTTGGAGGTGTTAAACATCACAAAGCGACTTGAGGCCGTGTGAGACTTCATAGTGGAGTGCTCCTGTAATTTCGCCAACTGTTCTTAGCTTTGAACTATCTAAGGCACATCTTCCGCTCAGTCCCATACAGACAGAGCCACATGTCAGTGAACCTCACTTGGCGCACACATCATTGCTTGAGATCTCTACTTCATGCTGTAGCCTACAGTTTTTTTTTTATGCGTCTGCTTTTGTGTTTACACCTGCAAGGTTCTCGTAGTTCGTTTAGTGCTAAAGGAACAATTTCCTCCTGCATCTACCAGCTATGTTACTTAATACCTGATAAACTTACAAAGGCCGATTTTGATCCTCTGTGCAACTTTAGGCAAGAAATGAGACTATTTTGTTAGTCGTGCCACAGAGATTACTAATGTCGTGCATAGTATCTTTTTTCTCTCTCTTTCGTTTCTTACCCTAGCGTTTAAAATGCGTTGGAAATGTTACCAAAGAGCATATACTTGTGCTTATACAGACCTGTCTATATATACTTGTGTATCAGGTAAAAAATGCAAATCTGCATTTCCATTCATAGGCACATATTTTTTTTTGTGCATATATAAATATATATTGATGCATACAAACTTTGTTTTTTTATTGCAACTGTATTTTGTATCACATATTACTTTATTTTTAATGTGTTGTACTTATTCTTTCTCTGCAATGTGCTGCTGCTATTGTTTCTAAAAGGGGGCAGGACCTCTGTCAAGCTGTGTAGCTTTTAGTCCTGTCCCCACTCTTTCAAGTGTGAAGAGAAATAAAAGTGATTGATTGATTGGTGTTTTTAATCTATGCGATAACAAGGGGCACATCCGTGATGTTTCTGGCTATTAGAACAGGTTTTTTTTATTTTCTCTGCTCTTTGCAGACTTTGCCACGTGCTCTCGGCACAACACGTTCAAGCGAACCTGTGATTTCTACTTTGTCTACCTGTCTTTACATGCAATCTTTCATTCTATGAGCCCCGCTGCAGTGGTCTGGTGGCTGAGGTACTCGGCTGCTGACCCACTGGTCGTGGAATCCAATCCCGGCTGCGGCGGCTGCATTTTTCGTTGGAGGCGAAAATGCTGTAGGCCCATGTGCTCAGATTTGGATGCACGTTAAATGAACCCCAGGCAGTTTAAATTTCTTGAGCCCTCCATTATGGCATCTCTCGTAATCGTGTGGTTGTTTTGGGACGTTGAACCCCACATATAAATCAATCATTTCATTCTATAAAAGATCTTGTTCACAGCCTGGCATAGACAGTAATTTTCAAAGTGTAAAGCAGATTGGCGACAACCCAGAGAGGGAGGTATATAGGTGCACAGTCTGTTGTCATCGTATCTTACTCTCGATCAGCTATTCTCCATCGTCTGTTTTTTTTTTATGCCCTTCGCTTGTGCCATGCTGCACGCTTACCCGAATATACTAACTTACCAACTGGCCCAGCCTCCTGCGTCAAATATTTAACATTTGGCAATAAGCAAATGAGAATTAGTGTTAGACTTGGATGTCTGTCATATAGAACACATTTTTGATGAATCCCAAGGCAGCGTCACTGTTTGACACAGTTGGTCTGTGATTCATTAATTTCGTCGTTCGTGGAAGCATGAGTGATATTGCGGCGCTCAAATATGTGGAAGTGCCCCCGTAATGGAAATGAACAGGCACCTAAGGAACAGGGTTACGAGAACAGGTGTATTGCATACCACATAAATACGTAAATGAAAAAACCACATCCATCGTAACTGAAGACATAAGATCCTCATCTTGTTGAAAATTTAAAGGTAGTCCAAACAAATTTTCCAAGTAATAAAATGGCACCTGTATCAAGCTTTATGGCCTCGTGAATTGATTTCATCAAAAATTTCTTGAATTTATCAAGAACTTGCTATTAGAGAATTAGTTCAAGCTGTCAAGCTAATCGCATTATTAACATGTCTCTTGAAGCCGACAATGGATGCATGTCTGTTGTCCTAGAGTTAAAAAGCATCTCCAACGAAGCAAAGAAAAGTGATGTGTGAGAGAGATCGGATAAAATAGTCCATGCCAGAGCCCTTTCACCTTTGAGACATGCGGTGGAAAAGTGACAAGAGCTTTCTTTGTTAAAACCCGAGTAAAAAAGGGGCTTTGTTTGCATCTAATTCAACACAAACGCAAACCGACAGCCTATTGCAGTAGCATCACGCCTTCCTTCCTGTCTTCCTCAAAGAGAAGCCAGCGCATCCTGCTAGCATTAACAGGGTTGGAACAGCTGCATCATTGTGCACCAAATTTGTATAGGTGCACCATCCTGTGTGAAACCACCCCGGTTACGCCACACTCGCTTATCAGTGCCGTACTGTGTCTCAGCACCCAAACTTAGATGCAAGTTTTCCTGTACCCAGAAGTTTGGCTGAAACATTGCGTTTTCAGTTTTATCGCAACAGTTATTGTTCATAGTTTCAGTTTTGTCAAGCAGCAGCTGTGATCTTTGATTGTAAGGTCACGATCGCTGGAGCACACGCTATCTCTACAGGCATCGGTGTGAATAGCTCGTGAACCCTTTTACGTGATGCACTCCCAACGCAAGGAGACTGCTAAAAAAGCACCTTTCAGTGATTCGTAGAGTTGCGTCATATCGGACTAAAAAGTGTTAGCTGTCACCCATATAACATTTGCTGCTATCGCACTCATTGCTTTGTCCTTGCGGGGAAACTTTCGGCAACTTGATGACAGCGCTGATGAAAAAAAAATGGTGGTAACAGTGTTCAAAAGAAGAGCCAGTAGTGTCAGGCTCTCGGAACAGCCTATTAAAGACCGATGCACAGGACGGCTCATCAAGTGCATGCTTGTGTTCTTCATTTCACCAGTGGGGTCCTTTATACGGCACTTATTGACTGTACATTGCTTATTGGCTGCACATATCAGCAGAAGGGCGAAGCAACAAATGCGACAGCAACAAATTGTAATGTTTGTTGACACAAAAGAAAGTTTGTTGAATGCAAATCGAGTGTTTATCGTATTCCATTATCACGCCAGAGTTTTTATGCCAGACAAATGGAAAGGTGTGTGAACGATTGTCTTGGAGAACATCACTATCAATGTAATAAGGCACCCACAGATCATTTTCTTGCAATTCATTGCCAAGAATGCGCATCTGTGCCGATGCTTCAAAACACTGTCATTATTAGAAAGAGCAACTGCGAAGTCGCTCGATTGATAATAGGAAGTGAGCAAATTGGCTATTACGGTAGCTCTTGCATCAGCAAGACTTCGCGAACACTGTCTGACAAAGAATTTAGTTTCCTGCACAAACAGTCAAAACTGCCATCTTTTGTCTGATTCTGCTGTAGTGATCTTTTCTGTTGATTCATGCGGTGTTGTCTGGTTCTTGTATATTACGAAGGTCACGTGATTTTGTGGCGTGCAAGGAAAGGCAATTTCGCTTGATGCAATCAAGGAATAAACTTTATTGTTGTAGTAGCACACACGTGCCTAGTGTGCCTTTTTATTTGTTCTCGTCAACACCAGCGCTAAGAAACTGTTCTTCTTGTTCCTCTTTCTCCTCCATATTTTATTGTGTTCTACCAGTGTGATATGGTTCATTGCTGATTGCTATTGAGCTCTATAAGGATCGAATTTGTATACAGTGATTGGCTCTCTTCCTCATGGTTGGATAAGAGAGCCCATCATTATCAGAAAAGGCATCTGGATTGGGTCGATTGTTACCAAAAGTGGCCACATGACAGCTATTAGCACTGCTGTAAACCATATGCAGTGATTGGCTGTCTTTTCGAAGTTGCATAAAGGAGCCAATCATGATCAGGAAAGTCAATCTAGATCAGGTTCAATGGTTATCAAAAGTGGCCAATGACACAGGTGTTAATAAGCTATTCTGTAGAGTTTTGGCAGCCTCATTATTTTCATGTTTTTTTATTGGTAACTTTAGTGGCCGTAACAAGTGCTTAAAATCAGTATCTTGCATTATTTGCACTCTATAATAACCATTTGCTTATTAAAATACACACTAAATAGGACAAAAATGTGGAGTATTGTTTACTAGTACGTTTGATTCTTTGTTAATTTCACTCTTCAGTGAAATAAACAAAAAAACTTCTAGGTGAAATTTAAACATCTTTTATTCATTTGACAAATCTTGCACACCACTAACTTCAACTTTTTGTATTTATGAACCTATTAGCTATCATGAAAATATTTGTCTTTTTTTGCGTGTTACATCTTGAATGCATTTTTATTATCCTAGATTTGCTTTTTTTCATTGCTGTGTTGTATTGCCAAGTGGATGTACCTACAGCTTGTAACCTTAGAACCTTCTCCTGCACTTTCATCTCCATTGTAATCTCTGAATGTTACTTTGATTGATTACTTGATTGACTAATCTTCAGGTGGCATAGACGACCTAGTCGCTCGTATACGAAAGCAAGGAGGGACTGTGCCAGAGCAAGTGTTTGAAGAAAGCTACCAAGGCACTCGTCTCAAGAAGTCAACGCTCCAGGTGATCATCATGTTGCCGATATTAATAACGGCAAATTACACTTATTTTTTGTACGACACCTAACGGACATGAAAGCTTGCCATTGGTCAATTGGTTCATACTTGCAAAGTAAAAAATGGTTGCACGCAAACTTGACAAAAACACAGGAGACATGGATACGTATAAACACAGACCTTTTAGATAGATGAATTGGGCAAGTTTGTGCATATTAATTGCAGACATAACTACTTGGCACCAGAAAATATGGACAAGGCAGAGATGAAAGACGGGACGGAGCACATAACTTGAGCAAGATTGAAGTTATGTGCTCTATTTGAACGGATTGCACTTGTCCATGTCTTTGCATCCTTGTCAAGTTTGCGAGAGTATTTATTTTTTTTCTTGGGAATAGTGAAAAAACATGGCAGCTCTAAAAGAATGTTATAATATAAATGACAGCGATGCAGACAGAAAAAAATGTGATTAGGGGGTCGCTACCATGTGCATACCTGCCAAGTCTCCCGGATTGGCCGGGAGACTCCCGGATTTGGACCGTTTCTTCCGTTAGTATGGTTTTCATGAAAATCTCCTGGAAATCGAAATTTCTGTACGTGATCTGGCCGCATCGACAAAAAAGCAGCTTGGTATGCTCCAGGCTTTTCTAACCTACCCCATTTTATTACGAATGAGTTTAAGAAGTGTTCATCTAAGCGTACAGTAGAATCACAGGGATGCGAGACCGTGGCAGATACGAATTCGTGAAATTCCCCAGCCAAATTCCACTATGTCTACTGGGTCCAAATTCAAATGTTCTGAACACATTTCCTAATCGCGGCGGGTGATACGGACTTTAGCACGAAAATCGTCGAATGAAGGCCGAGAGCAGCGTACTCGAAGCTTTGGAAGTACGCGTGCGACCAGCGCACGCACTGTCTTTTACAGTGCGTGTGGTTGTCGTTGCCACAACCGCTGTGGATGAAACCGTGGTCGCTCTTGATACAATCATATATGGTGACAACGTAACTGACAGAGCCCCGAAAGTGTGCGCTCGACCAGTCAAAGCACTGCCGCTTTCCGCAAACTCTGCGGACAAAACTGTGGCAGATGCGATCATAGATGGCATAAAATGACTTAGTTTTGAAGGCGCGTGCACAGCCAAGCACACAGGGATTGTAAAAGGAACTACCTTTTTCCGCAACCGCCGCACACAAAACCGCAGTCCCAGCGATGCGATAGCGATATACGAACTCCGGGGACACGCAGCGGTAGATGAAAGGCCGTTAATGCGTAAAAAAAAAGTCACAGTTTTGCCGTAAGGGCGAAGCAATGAATGCAACAGCAACAACTTGGAGGGTCACGCTGAGAATGGCAAGCAGATCGAAACATGCAGCGCGCTGCTCACTCACAAATGATGCACGAAAATGACGCACACAAGACGAGAGCGAAGTAACGTTTACCGCTCGACACGTAATGCGCTGTTTAAAGGGCCAGTAAACAGCTCTCGTGTCCAAAAATTTTTAAGAAGAGATATATGAGCAGTTTTATTGCATAGAATATGCTGCACAGTTTATGCATATATAAATGCGCACATTTATTGCATAGAACATATTGCAGCAGAACATGCTGCTGTATTAATTTTGAAAATACGTGCTATATTAAAGAAGTTAGAGGGGTTAGAAAATCGGTCTAAGCTGTTTTCAAAATTTCGCGTGGCCTCACCCTTTTCTTCCTTCCATGAAGGGGAAGGTGTAGCCCATTGTCGTGACTCCGCCCACTTCAGTAACCTGACACGTCAGCGATTGACATCATCGGCGAACTCAATCAGTGGCAACGCACTTCCGCTTACGGTGAAGCATGGTTGTTTATTATTTGCCGTACCAGCCGCGGGTCAACCGTGTAAGCGCCGGGTGCGAAGTGTCGGCCTTAAATGATCAGGTCCCCTACGTACGTCGCTGGATGGCCGATTCGCTTCATCCATGCAGCACGCAAGGCCTTATCGTGAGGCACTCGGTGTCGATGCTTCCCCGCTGCCCAGTCGCTCGATTTGCAGCCGAAAACAGAGCAACGCTTTTTATCCATGTTGCTCATGTCAAGGGCGAAGTACGTTCGTGGGTGCGCACAGGCGCTCTAGTTGAGCGAGGAGTGTACACGTGCATGCGACAACTGCGAGACTGGTTCTTTCACCGCAGTGTCAAGAAACAAGGAGCAGTTTCGTAGCTGTGGGTGGGAACAGGAACTGACGTTGACTTCGCTACTGTTTTTCACACCTGATTAGGCCAATCTGCGAGCTGCGTGCTACATCACGTCCCTGATCGCGGAGTTCACGTCACTGCGCATGCAAAGGGGTCGATCAGGCATAGGAAAGATGTGCGGGAATTGTTTTTTTGGAGTAGAGGCTTTGTGCAGTGGCAGCGCTGTAATATTCAGAAAACGTGATTGCTGTGGTCTAATCTACGAATTGCCAAGCTTGCATGGTGGTGTAAAAAAAAGTCGGAGCCTGCTTATTTTTTTTTTATTTATTTATAAATACTGCGATCCTTCAGCTGAAAGATCATGGCAGGGTGGGAAAAAAAAAAATGTTCGAGAATCGGTACATACAAAAAAATAATGAAAACACAATGAATCGTACGATTTGAATATACAAGGCGAAGGTTCACAAACGCTTATTTCAACAAATTTTTCGAGTAACATAACACATAATAACGTAACACGTAGAATACGGGTTATAGACTAACACAATAATTACAATAAAACAAATAATACAATGCAATGTGTAGTGATGGTTTAGGCGATGCTGTTTTCAAACAATGACAGTTTCTTCTGTAAAACGACATCATTTGTCAGGCTATTCCAGTCATTAATAGTTCTAGGGAAGAACGAATACTTGTGGCAGTTAATCCGTGAAGGTAAAGGAGTTATCGTTTTACTATGTCGCTTGCGAGTTGCGTAACCGGAAGAATACCGAAGAATGCCTGCATTGTCAACATTTAAATGACCATTTATTAATTGATAGAAAAACTTAAGCCGGCAAGTGCGGTTTCTGTCCACAACGGGTTGCAGACCGCTTTTTACCAATAATTCAGATACGGATGTTCTACCGTAGGAGTTATAAATAAAACGTAAGCCCTTGTTCTGCACTTTTTCTAATTGATTAATGTTACGTTTAGTGAATGGATCCCATATTATTACAGCATATTCCAACATTGGACGAATGAGTGTTTTATATGCCAACATGCGTACAGACGGGGTAGAATATTTTAAGGATCGCTTTAGAAAAAAAAATTTCCGTAGACATTTACCTGTAGTTATATCGACGTGTTTGTTCCAGTTTAGATCATTAGTTATCCATACTCCAAGGTACTTGTATTCTGCAACTTCTGTAAGATTGACGCTATTTGTGCCGTACTGATAACATAAAGGATTTTTCTTTAGTGTTATTTTCATATAAACAGTTTTGTTGTAATTAATTGACATTTGCCATTCCTGGCACCAAGAGACGACCTTGTTGAATTGATTATTGAGCCTTATCTGATCTCCAGCAGTTGATACCTTCGTGTATAATACACAATCATCAGCATAAAGCTTTACACTTACAGAAAGGTCATTCATTATATCATTTATATATAATAGAAAAAAAAGAGGTCCGAGGACCGAGCCCTGAGGTACGCCGGAATCCACAGGTAGTTTGCTGGAACAACTGTCATTAAATGAAACAAATTGTTGCCTGTTTTCAAGATACGCTCGTATCCATACTATAAGTTTCGGATTTTTCAAGATATATTGCAATTTATGAAGTAATTTTTTATGTGAAACTTTTTCAAAGGCCTTTTGGAAGTCCATAAAAATGGCATCTAGCTGTTCACCTTCATTTAGTGCGGTAGCAAAATCATGGATGGTTTCAACCAGCTGTGTAGTGGTAGAATATCCACGTCTAAATCCATGCTGCGCTTTTGTTAGTACTTTGTGTTCATCAAGAAATGTAACAATCTGTTTGTGAATTATGTGCTCGAGAATTTTACAAGCTGTAGAGGTTAACGAAACTGGTCGATAATTCTTTATTTGAGTTTTATCACCTGCTTTGTGTAGAGGCTTAATTCGGGCAATCTTCCAGTCCTCAGGGAGTACACCTTCGTTCAAAGACCTAGTATATAACACACACAAATATTTCGCGCACCACTCTGCGTACCGTTTTAAGAAGGCATTCGGTATCTCATCTGGTCCAACAGATTTCTTAACATCCAGATTTAGCAATAAATTAAAGATACCCTCTTCAGAAATAGTGACATCTGATATTGGTGGTAGGTTCGCATCGAAAGGTGGGAGATGATTATTATCTTTTGTATAGACGCTGTTGAAATAGTTATTAAAGGCCGTACAGACAGCTTTTTCATCACTCTCTAATTTTCCATCTAAAGAAATACATCGGTAGAGCACGTGCCCGGAGTGACCTCTTTCCAAAATTTTCTTGGACACGTTTTAATAAATGACGGCAATTTTTCGTTAAAATACTTTTCTTTGTCACGAAAAGATTTTTCTTTAATTTCTTCACGTATATTGCAAATAGTTGTTTTTAAATTAGGACTGTTAGCCTTGTTCGACCTTTTTTTTAACCGTTTCAACTTTCGCTTCAGCTGTAACGTCTCTCTTGTTATCCAGGGATTGTGATTCTCTACTTTCTTTGTAATTAAAGGGATAAAACGCTGCACACAATCTTCAATCATTCTCTTAAAGCAAAGCCACAGATCTTCAACGCTACGATTACTTGCATTGAAATGATCATATTCAAAGGCCAGAACATCAATTATAGATTCATCATCTGCTTTTGAAAAATTGGGAAATTTCTTCACCATCCTCTGCTGACTAAGTTCAACTCCCTTTAGCTTTAGTACCACAGCCTTGTGATCCGATATGCCATTTGTGACGCTGCACAACATGCTTTCTTTTATATTGCCACTTACAAGATATATATCTAGGATAGATTTCGTCCCCTGATCTATTCTGGTAGGGTCGGTGACTATTTG